AAAACATTGCTGCCGTATCTCTGATATAGTTTTTTGCAAATTTCTCAGTTTTTAATAACAATTAATTTCTTTTACTATTTTTCTGTACTCCTATAACAGCGCCATACAACACCTCCAGAGGAATGACGCCAATTTTGAATCACCCTGTATATACTTTATAGTAAATGTATTTACGTGTCATTTATAAATTTCCACTATTATTAGTATTAGGTACGATCAGTATCACAAATCACGTAAAACCATGTGGTGGCCATAATGCTACTCATTGCAAAATTGTTGGGACAATAGATCACATACCATTTGGTAATCTGGTAATAGCTCAAAACATAATCATTGTTAGAGAATATTCATGGGACATTGCGTGCACATCTATGATATATTCCTAGAATGTGACATAAATATACAGGCATATTCATAGAAGATTACGAGCTTTATTCCTGGAATATCTATAGCATATTTTTAAATTACAACTTTCTTGTCCTTGGAATATTCATTATGAATATTCGTAAAATATTAAATGTTCTGGTTTGTCCAAAGATTATCTCCTCTTATCTGGGTTTTTACAACAGTGTCCTAATTTCTCAATATAAAGTGGTCACATGTCGCGAGCGAATGACAATGGAACTGACTAAACGGATGGTCTGTTAATCGTCACCCAGATAACACAAGATATTCTAGGAATATTCCAAAAATATTCAATCCAGCACATTCAATATTCCACGAATATTCACAGGGAATATTCCAGGGACAAGAAAGTTGTAATTTTGAAATGTGCTATAGATATCCCAAGAATATTCCTGCCATATGCCTGTATATTCATGACACATTCTAGGAATATATATCATAGATATTCCATAAATATTCTCAAACGTGGTTTTTGGTATCTTGGAATACTCGGTAACGCAAAAAATAAAAAAAATATGGAAAGTTAAATTTTGCATTGGGTATTATGCAATTAAAAAATCTAGTTGAATTTTCAGTAAAATGTACCTAATTGAAGTTTTTTCCACACACATAACTGAAAATT